TATTATGCAGGGTGATTAAATGTGTGGTCCTTCATGCGTTGCTGGACTGCAAGTCCTTGCATTCTTCACCATTGGCTGTGCTGATGTAGGGCTGTTGGGGATTGTAGTTCAAAAGCATCTGGAGAACCACAGCTTCTCCATGCATCCTCTCTAGAGCAACCATTCTCAATATTTTTTGGGGGGAGCATGACCATAAACACAATATGAAAGAAATTACAGGATGAATCAGGATTGTGTAAATTACTTAAACGACCTTATAAGGTGGCATGTGAAGAATTGGTTCCAGTCTGTGATACCTTTCAAATGCACCAGGTGGCCCTGTCGTCCCTATTGAGAATGCCTGCTCTGGAGGGCCAGGTAAAGAAGAAATATTTTGTATTATGTATTCCTGGGCCTTTTAAAACTGGAAATGTCAGGAATTGCATCTGGAACCTTCTGCATGCAAATCATATGCTCTGCTACTGAGCAATGATTTCTCCCAGTCTGCCCCTGTTCCTCCCGCAGTTAAACCTTCTATCCATCTTCCTGTTTTCCTTGTAACACTGACATTTGTTTGGGGCTTTTGTAAGTAGACAGCTGACATGTTCAAGATATCATGAAAGCTACAGAGGCTTTTGTAAACAGTCATATTCTGTTATCAGACACCCAGTAGCTCAGGCAGATTGTCAGAAGCACTAAGAACAGCCTCTGACTCATCAGGATTCATGTTAATAAGGGTAGATGTGGAAAACATTATTCAGGATCTGATTTTGGTCCCATGTGGGCTCAAGCTGGATAGTGAGCACGCTTGCTAATTTGAAAAGGAGGATCCTCGTGCAAACTCTCTTTTACCCAAGAAATCATGGAAGTCTTCTCTGATTAGCAAGTTGGAGGAGCTTTCTACCTTTGAGGAACTGAAGTTGGCCACGCAAAGGGGAACAGCCAAAATTCTATTGCCAGTTCACATTTGCATAAGGGATATCACGCAGCTCTTGGCAGCAAATCGCTACTCATTAATTAGGCACATGCCCAGGAACACAACTAGCACCTCATTAAAACGTGGTAATTTTCTGCCAAGACGTGGGTGATGCAGTGAGTATACGTCAACAATAGGATTCTGAGAAATGTACCAACAGTTTAACCTCAAACAACGGTTTTAATCCTTTGAATTTCATATCTTTGGTCGTTGAGGGACTCGGTGCTTATCACGGGAAGCTACTCTGTGCAAAGCCGGAACACGGGTCCCCCTAAATTGGGGGTTATCAATCTTTAACACCACCACCACCACCCCGGAAATTTTGGACTTCAGCTCCTAGGAGCCCCAGACATTGCTGTGTAAGGCTGATGCTCACATAGAAAAGAAAACAAAGCAGGACAGAGATGAGGGAATAATATATTTCATTCAAAAGTAGAATAATGCTGGCTGGGCAGATCTGTGAGGTGGATTGTCAAGGGGTGTCGCTATGTGGATTCGTCACTATGCGAAAAGAAAAAGCCTATAGGAATGCATTAAACCCCGTTTAATGCATTCCTATGGGCTTAAAACTCACAGTTATGCGAAAATCCTCCATACAGCTGCCATTTTCGCTGCCCGGTATGCGAGGAATGGGCACGAAAACACTGCGGGTGGCCATTTTTTTCCTGGTGGCCATTTTAGAACTGCCGATCAGCTGTTTTTAAAACATCACTATGCAGAAATCGGTAAGCGAAACAGCTTACCGATCATCGCAAAGCGATTTTTTGCCATTAAAAAGATCGCAATGCGATCGCTTTAGTGATCGCAAAAAACAAATCGCTATGTGGATTCTTCGTTAAACAGGGCGCTCATTAAGTGAGGCACCACTGTATTTCATTCAAAAGTAGAATAATGCTAGCTGGGCAGATCTGTGAGATGGATTGTCAAGGGGATGGACGTTTGATTCCCTATAGCGCCTTGTAGGAAAACAATCCACAAGTGTTGTTAGTAATGACTAACAGTGACTTACCAAGAACTTGGGCAGATTTCTTCTCTAGCCCTCTTGGGAGATACCTGGGATTGAACATGAGAGACGTGCATGCAGAGCACCTGCTCTCCCGTTGAGCCTGGGGCCCTTGTGAGGACATAGCTG